AAAAAAAAAAAAAAAAAACAAAAGGTTGATACTTACCTGAGCAAAAATCCTTATACATTTTCATTCTCTATGCTCCTTAAACCTAACTAATTAGTCAAATAAAAAAAAATTGAAACTTTGATGCTTGAATTCAAAAGACTGATGTCTAAGTTACAGTTGGATGCTGGCGTAACTCCATTCCAGTAATTGTTAGTTTCCAAGTTTTTCTTATCCACCTTGTATATATCATACATGTCTTTGAAAGTTATTGAAGTCACAAGTATAAAGGGGGTTCTTTTCTCATGTTTTTCAAAGTTTAAGAATATTCAGAGTGAACTTCTTAAACTATTACAGGAAGGGAGCACCCGTGCTAGTGGAAATAAATCAAATAAAACCTATAAAGGACTAGCACTTGATATCCAATTTGAAGACCTGAGGATTAAAGTTCCAAGGGATTTGGTATATGCTGGCCTAGGACTATGGTTTAATTGGTTTTCATTCTAGATTACAAAGATGAAGTGAGTTTCATTGAGCACACATGTGAACAACAAGAAAACCACAGAACTGCAAAGACATCCTAGCAACTTTATATGTGTTGGCTGAAGGCCAAAAAATTAATTTCACACATAAGTAGCAACAGAGCCGTCCCCTTTCCCCACCAAAACCAAAGGTGCTAAAAGTGTGAAGCAGTCCGGTAAAAGCATCCAAGTGATGCCCAGAATACTGGTCTCTCCAAGCGAGGCATTATCAAGGCTGTACTTAGGCAACACCCAGGTAGTCAGGAATTGAACTTCCTTTATTAATAACTGAAAAAGATATCCAACAACTAATGCAATATTAAAAACTGCATATGCAAAGCATGTTCAGAGTTCCAAACTTGTTTTGGATCTCTAATGCATATCCTACCATGTAACATTTTAGCATTTACTGAGAAGTCGATGAACGTTATAATAATCATGGGATTTATCATACAAATAAGAGTTTATCTATCTCACCACCACCCATCAACTAAGGGGGTGCTTGGCACTGTGTTGTTGTGTTGCCGTTGTGTTTTGGGTTGGTCAAATACAAACCTGTACGAGAAAGAATTTTCTACCTCAAACGTTTTGAGCTGATAAATAAAAATTGCTGTTTCTACCTAAATCATCAAATTTGAAGTTTCTTCCACACATGCATTTTTCTGATTGAAATAACACTCATGCATGAAGTGGCAATACATTTTTCTCACAAATTTGTATTGATCAACCCAAATTACAAATGGCAACACAGCACCACTGTACCAAACACCCCCTAAATGGTCTGCTTTTTATCAGGGAAAGGAACAGAATAGTCTATTTTATATGTATATATATTTTTTTTCTCTCAGAGAAAAGAATGGAAAAACCATTGTGCCAAAAATTCTTTATTCCTAAACTTTCGCATGCCTTCCTTTAAAGAAAATGCTAGTTTAAAGTATAATTGCTCCCAAAATAAACAAGAAACAATAACTTCAAGAAATGCCACTCTTCTTGAATCTCCTTAGACAGAAGCCACAGCCGTCCCAAGCCATATAAGCAATCATTTTTCCAGAATTTTTGTGGAAATGATCCTTTAGTAGTAATCTTTTTACAGGAACAGGTGTTGTTATTATCAATTCTCAGGGAGGCTTTGTTCCAATTTCTTCTAGTTCAGATTACCTGTTGTCAGCTTAGTTTTCCAAAGCTTCATTCATTTTGAATGGCCTTCATCTTGCCTTAAATAAAGACTGGAGCTCGACAGGTTATCCTTTTCTCTGTGCAAGCCAGTGACTGAACAGGTGTCTAAAAAGGTAGAAGACTAGAAGTGATATGGGGTGAGCAGTGTATGGTAATCCAGGATATTTGGACTCTAGCCAGTAGTTTCAATTTTGGAACTTTGTTTCTGTTAGTCAGAGGGTAAATGTTTGCTCATCATTTAGGTTCCCCCACCTGCCCTAGTAGAGGGGAACAGTGTTTTAAAAGGCGTGGGACGCGAGGCGTACGCCTGGAGGCGCTCCCAAAACACCCTGAGGCGTATGCCAGAGGCGCTGACACCTCTGAGCCGTACACCTCTTGTGCTTTTTTCATGAGGCGTGCTAGAGGCGTACGCCTCATGTGCCTCATGCACATCTGATATAAAAAGACAGAAAAAAAAAAAGAAAAAAGGAAAATAAAGGAAAGGAAAAGAAAGGGAAGGGAAAGAAAAAGAAAGAAGAAAAAAAAGAAAAAAAGAAAGGAAAGGGAAGGGAAGAAAAGATAAGGAGAAAGAAAGTGGTTTGCCCCTTGCCCCTTCGGCTGCTCCACCCCCTTTTCGATGCAGCCCAATTTGTTTTTTGAGTTAGGAGGGTCTTGTCGAAGCGGAGGCGAGGGAGCGAATCTTTATTCTTCTTAATATAAAAGATTTTTATTAAAAATAAAGAAAAAATGAGATCCCCCCTTCCTCTTCATCCTCCTCCTAACCCCCCTCCTCTTAAGGAGGCTTACGCCTCTTGCGTTCTGAATTACGCCTCACGCCTCTAGGTAATGGAATGCCTCGCGTCACGCCTCCGCGTTTTAAAACATTGGAGGGGAATGGCTGTTCTATATCCTTCCTTTTATGCTGACTTGGTGGTATGAACTCCTGGATTGTATTAATCTTCAACTTCCCAATATTATTAATAAAACTATAAAAGTTAGTTTATTGTTTACGAAAAAGAGTCTTTTACACCTCTTAATAATGTAACAAAATGCATCAATAATTTGGGCAACTGTCTTACTGAAAAAGATGTTTGGTTGATGAAGATGCAAGGTAGTGCAACTTATAGACATCATTCTTCATTTTTTTATCAATAATAGAAGTCATTCTTCATTTGCAAGCTAGTTTATGCTTTTTTTTTCATGATAAGCATCTCGCAAGAGATAATCTAAACATGCTATTAACACACCACCTTACACAGAAGTCATATCTATAAATAGTCAAAGAGATGCCAAATTAAACTAAAGCACATCCATAGTGAGATTCTTCCTTTTTCCCTATTATGGGCGAACTAAAAATAGAAAAGATAAGCATGCAAAGAAATTTATCTCTGAATGAAATAGAAATTTTTATATACTTACAAAAACCACAATCCCATCTAATCCAACAATCCAATCAACCATTTTTCAATTTCATAAACAAGTTTTTTTTCCATTTACAATTTTCTAGAGACAGATAAAAAAAAACGTATTACTGTAAAGAGGAGACAAAGAACCTATTCCAAGATCAGGATGAATGATGGCGATGTTCAGCTTTGAGCTTCCTCCGCTTCTTCCCTTCTTCTTCATTGTTGCTTCGTTTTGTTTTCAACTTTCAATCCCTGGTTCTTTCAGTGTTCGTTGTTGGCTTGTAATGCCTGTTGCAGACTATATTGACCTACTGGACCCTTTCCTGAAATGTTTCAGATTGGACGACCGGACCATTTGACTTCTTGCCTAGGTTTAAAAACCACCAATTCAACAGTGAGAAACAAAGAAACATTTTTTTCTTTTCTGGAATCAGGTAAAGTGAGAATTTCAATTAAGACAAAAACATGTACAACAAGGAGTTGTACACAGGGATTTACAAAAAACTGCACCAGAAGAGCTAGACTCAAACCCTGATTTACAAAAAGATTCCCAGCCGCAAAAAAGGAATTAAAATTTGTCCTTGAAAGCATTGTTTACTGCTAACCAGGAAAACATTTTTCCCAAAACTTTCTGAAATACTGTATCTGAGGAGCTGTGTTGGTTCTTGAAAATCCTTGCATTCCTCTCCTGCCATATGCACCAGAAAACTGCAGCAGGAGTCAGATTCCAAGCCAATTTGCCCTCTTTAGTTAGACCTTTGACTCTGCAACTCTTCACAAAATCTGCTACTGATTCAGGGCAGCAAGTGTTCACCTCATATAAAATTTTGACTTTGTTCTATCTAGACCTTACAGGAGAAAACACAGTGGAGTAGCAGATGGTTTACTGACTCGGTAATGGCTCTGACAAAGCACACAGACAGTTGTGTCTAACAACATACCCTTCTTTTCCAGATTATCCCTAGTTAAAGTCCTGTTCAAGTAGGCTGTCCATACAAAAAAAGCTACCTTTGTGGGCACACCCTTACACCATACAGACTTAACTGGGATTGGTTCATCCTCTGATCTGGAAAAATAGTTGTAAAAGGACCTAACTGAGAATTCCCACGACTTCTCCCACTTCCAAACTCTTCTATCCTCTCTCCCTAATTCCACTGGGGTGCTATACAACAAATGCAGCAATTCCACTAGAGACCCCACTTCCCAATCATTCAGATTTCGCCTGAAGATAGGTACCCAAACAATACTTCCATTCTGCACCTGCAAATAGTCTGAAACCAGAGCATCTTTGTCCGCTGCTACTTCAAAGAGGGTAGGGTAAGAGACCCTCAAGGGTCTATTATCACACCATAAGTCTTTCCATTAGAGAAACAAAGAACACTTAGAATTATACTCTCTAAGGGGATCTCTATTGCCATTACCTTCATTGAAAGTTTATCTCTGAAGAGCCAAAGAAAAAACGCCCACAGAGTAGGCCACTCTGAAATGTTCAAATTTCCTTGATTCAGTCATAGGATTTGCATCTATGGAACAAACATGTTCAGTTCAAGGGTGCTCTCTAAGGCCAAGTTTGGTAGTACTTATTTTTCAAATAAGTGCTTATGATTCAACTAAACATCCTAGAAGCAAAGATGTATCTAGATAATCCATGAATATTTTAAAAGGGAAATAAACATGTGCTTTAAATAATTAAACAAGAAACATTCTAGATTAAAGGGCAAACTTGGAATTAATAATTAATAAGAAAATTCTAGAATTTCAAGAATCCAACTCACCCAAAAATCCATAAATAGGGCTTCCCATTATCTTTTCTTATATAAATAATTTATGATTTCATTAAGAGAATAGAACTAGAGATACAAGCTCCCCATGAAGAGGTGTGAATTGTGTGACTTGTGTCCTTTCCAAAGAAAAAGAAGAAACAGAAAACAAATTCAACTACAAATGAGTCTAATACAATTATTCCCTGTTTGCCCCTTGCTTTGCTAGAGCTAGACAATGTGCCAAAGCATTTACTGATTTCCCCACCCATTGTATACTTACATTCAAACTCTTATTTGCCACTTAAATTTTTTAATTTCATTCTTAAAGCTCCACACTATAGACTCAGGGTTCTGTACCCACTACCACCTTGGAATCCCCTTCAATTAGTAGTTCCACACCTAGCTGAACTGCAAGCTGTACACCATAGATGGCAGCTAGCAATTCTGCCCTAGTAGAGTTCCCAACCCCTAGAGGACCCGAGTAAAAAAGAACCACATTACCAAATCCATTCCTCAGCACCCTTCCCATTCCAAAGGGGCTTGGATTTACCTTGACTGCTAGTGCTACCATCAAAATTCAGATTCAAAAAACCTTCAGGAGGGGGTTTCCAATTCATACTGATTATAGAGACTTTAGAGAGGAGCAACTTGCTACTGCTGACCAATTCCTCTAGATATCATTAAAGGAGAATTGGTGGAATGAATCCAAGGATTTTAGCCACCATATCACCCTCTATAGAATGCACTCCAATTCTTGTATTTTTCTCTCCTTCTCTTGGAAGATTCTAGCATTTCTTTCTTCCCACACTATCCAAATCAGCATAGCTCTAGTACACCTCCACATGATTCTTCCTCTTTTTTTTATTGGAAATGGTAGCTTCATTGAAATTTCAAAATTTGTCAAGTACAACTGTCAACCCCATATTTTTTTATGAATAATTGTTAACTTCATTGAATTTAATACAAGACAAAGTGAGAGAGAGACAAGCCCTCTTATCTCTCCCATTTAATTTTAATTAAAAATTACATTTGTGCCCATAATATTAGATTTCTCCCAACCCCTTGCTTGGCTAGTGCATCATCCATCAAATTAGCTGTTCTTTCCACCCACCGTATTCTCAGTTCCATGTCCTTTGTGATCCATCTGAATTTTTTCTTCTCATTGTTGTATTTCCACATCCTACTTTCCTCATCCAGTAGCCAAGCCACTACCAGTTTGGAATCCCCTTCAATGATTAGCTTTCTAACATTCATGGTTCTAGCCCTTTGCACCCCTTCCATAATTGCCATTACTTCCACTCATAGTGAGTCTCCTTCACCTGCTAAGCCTGAGAATGTTGCACACACTTTACCCTCCTCATCCCTGAATACACCTCCAATTCCTGACCTACCTGGGTTTCCCATGCTACTTCCATCAAAGTTAAGCTTTATAAATCCTCTTTCAGGAGGGGACTAGATAGGAATGACAGGCTACTTATTGACATTTGAGTCCGCCACTACCTTCCAATTTCTAATGATGTCATCAATGGTATATGTGAGAAGCTTTCTAAGGATTTCAGTCAGTGAGCCACTCTGATCAATATTGATTCAATCAAGGCCTCTTTTGTTCTACCCTTTTCTCTAAAAATTCTTGCATTTCTTTCTTCCCACACTGCCCAGATTATTGCCACCCTAGCACTCTTCCACATGATGTTACCTATCTTCCTCGGCCATGGACAGGAAGTTGAATCAAAGAGACTTTTGATGTCAGTCGGAGGTGTCCACCCGCACTCAAATAAGGAAAAAATCCATTCCCAAATGCCAACAAAGAATGGACAAGTGATAAACAAATGAAAGCAAGTCTCATTGTTAGCCTTGCAAAGAACACACCAATGTGGGGAAAGGCACCACTTTTTCCTCTTCCTTTGTAGCCAGTCAAAAGTATTTATTCTTTCGTGAACAACTTCCCAACAAAAAGCCACAATCCTAGGTGGGATAGGCTTGCACCATACCTCCTTGACAGGAAATGAATGAAGGGGACTAAGGGGAGGTTGGGTTAAAACTTTCAAGAAAGAGTTACAGGAGAACAGACCCAAAGAAAAAGGTGTCCAAATTCTTCCATCAGGCGTATCAGGATCAAGGAAAATTCCTTCGAGGTGTTGGAGTAAAGAGAGCACACTATCAATTTATAAATCCCTTAATCCCCTTCTTTCATGGGCTCATTCTTGAAATATGATAAAGAATACAAAGAGGGGTATAAGTCCTTCAAAGGGGAGTTCCCATACCAGATTTGATCCCAGAATTTGATTAGGTTACCAGAATTGAGTTCATACCTTACAAGAGGCAAGAAACAAGGTAGAATCGCTTGTATGGCCTTCCAAGGTGAAGCTCTTGGTAGCCCATTGCAGTGAACCAGCATCCAATCCATTGTCCAATAGCTCGGGTATGCTCACTACCACCCTTGCCCATAGTTTCTCTCTTTCTTTAGGCATTCTCCATAACCACTTCCCTAGTAGAGAAAATTTTCTTTTTTGGATATTTCCTATTCCAAGACCCCCATACTTTTTATCTCTACTGACTATCTCCAAGCACACCTTATGATCTCTTTTCTCTTCTCCTAGCTCCCATAAGAAATCCCTTATTAATTTCTCAATGCTCCTGCTTACTCCCTCTGACATCTTGAAGACTAACATGCAAATATTACTTGTGGTTCCCACTTACACATTTACTTACATAAAATATTAAAATGGGCCCCACTCATGCATTTCCCTAAACAAGATAACATATTTACACATCGGCATATGCGGTTATCATCTACGGGCTCCACTTAGGCATTCACCTATATAAAACAAAATCAATGTTCATAAAAGATCACACAGAAGAAAACTATTTAAAAAAGTTTTAGAAATAATTAATAACTAGTTAATGACTAGAATAAGAAAAGCAATAACTAGTTAATAACTAGAAGTTAAGGGTTAACAAAAGGAAATCAATAAAATAAAATTTTAAAGGGGAAGCAGCCTTTAATGAGGAGCATGAATTTTCAGTCCTGCAATGATCAAAGATAATTAGCAATAGCATTTTATTCATTTTGAGGTCCCTTGCCTTTTATTTTGACGTGTGAGTCTTGTACTTTTTAACTATTATGTACTAACAATGCATTGCATTTTGTAATGCAATATTTTAAATTTTATATATGTATCAAATGAAAAAGGAACCAATGAGAAAATAACTTAAAGTAGCTATTAGCATTTTCACCATATATTTTTTCATTATATCCAGAATTCCCAGGTTCATAAGCTCCTTGAACCACCACAAGGTAAATAATGGTTAGAGTTCTTGTCTACACACATAATATGCATACAACAATGTAACAGCATAGGAGGAAAGGTTCAGTATATGTTCTCTGAAAAGAGTATTACTGTCCCATGATGAAGGCCTCTATCTTGCTTGTAAAACAGTAATTTAACACAAGTCTGGAATTTATCAAAAGACAAATACACATCTTGTCTTACGGTAGAAACCCAACACATATCAGCAGTTTTGTGCCTGTATTTGTCCTCTTCGTATGTAGACAACAATCTAGAACCATGGACCATTTCTGTGCAAGGGTAAAACCTAAGGGATACAAACCTTAGAAGTTTAGAACATAGGTTCAGGCCTGAGAGTGGCCATTCTGCTACAAATGCCAGTCTTAGATTTCACTCCTCACAACACCTTCAATGGAAGTTCAATATTTTGGGCAGTTATTTAATTAAGAAAAGTGACATTGACTTTTTTGTAGGAAATTAATACAGTTTAATCTACAAAAAGATGTTTTTTTTTATAATTAAGAATAAATCTATTTAAAAAGAGAGGAGGGGGAAGAGACCCTAATACAAGAGGAAAGTAGGTATCATTCAATCTAGTCTGAAATCAATACTAAATATAAGCTTAGATATCCTTGAAAAGTAACTAGAAAATAGTAATAAAGATGTACAAAATCTCAACATTAACATTTATTTTGATTGGCAAAGCTTCACTATAGCATTTCAAATGGAGAAACCAATAATCAACCAGGTTGATAGATCTAAACTTGCTTCTCTTGATCATGTAAATCTGATGCAAGTAAATTCCTCCGAGTGGGATTTGAGCTTGTCTTGTCTTGGTCAATAGTATGAGATTTGAGCTTCCCACCAACTACTTTACTCCAACCCTCAATGGAATAAGTCCACCTTTTTAAGAGAACTATAATAGGACCAATTTCATAGAGATTGAGCTCCCTACTTTTTAGCTCAACGGTCACTTCCGTTAAGTTTTCAAGGCCCATTAGCCTTAGTTCAGTTCATGCATGCTATGACCTTCTCACTTTATCTACCTTTCCACTGTACTCCATCTCCTAATGTTCAACTATAGCTAACCAAGTTGAATTTACAAGCCCAAATCTTACAGAATTGAAAAACATTAGACAAACTTAAAATCAATACCTTAAATACTGAACTTTATTTTAGTATATTTTTGTTTTTTTTTTTTCTGATAGCAATTTCCAAACAAACCCTTTGTTTTGTCATTTTTTTGTTGCAGTGCAAATCTTTGGAGCAAAAGTCGTACTTGGTTCAATTTTGTTTTTGTTTGTTTGTAATTATGATTTTCATTTTTACTTGATAAAAAATTTATACTTTGTCTTTTTTACATTCGCTGAGTGTAAACTTTACATCCCAAAAACTGATGCAAAATTTGCACCAACCTCCCGCTACCTCAGTTCTTTCTCTATTTCTCATATAAAGTGGAGATCATCTTGCATCCTACTTACTCTAAACAGATAACCCACCTCCTATCTCCATTCTCTTTCACAGGCTGTGTTTAGTTTGAAAGAAAGGGCATGAAATGATAGGGAAGCCTACATGAAGCAAAAGTAAACCAAAATTTACACTCATCCCTTTAACGCTTCCATGAATCTAGACCAGTGTGAATGAAGTTTAGACTGCAATCAAATGCAGCCTTATATTCCATATAAATGTAAATGATGGCACATGCATGGACTGCCATTTGTATGTGCAGAAACTCTTGCAATTCCATTCTCCTCATTGAGAGCTAGACTAACAAAATACTCACATTCCTAAAGTAGCATCCATCTTTACCATCATATGTAAATACTTGCTGAGTGCTTCCCAGACCACCAGTTACCAAACTCCCCATTACAATCATAGAACCCTGTGCAGCCTACAGATTCACGAGATTTCCCCTTGAGAAACCAAATGAGCCATGTGAAAACAACTGCTGGTTGAATCCTAAGGACAGGTTTGAAATTGAAGTCGATGTGCCATTTCCTTGATCCACAAAGTTAGTGTACAAATAAAGGGGAAACCTTCTAGATAAATCAATAAAATCTAAATGAGAAGGGAGTCTAGAATAAACATTGGCATTGACATCTGTTGTTTGATTCACAATCTGCTCATTCCTATTGTTCTCAAACTTCATTGTATTCCTATAAGAAAAGTATTGATGTGATTGGGTTGTGATGCTCCCATGAGAAGACTTCACCCATCCAGCCAAAAGAAAAGGCCTACTTGCTATAGGGCCCGTTTGGCACATCTTTCCATGCAGTTTTTCGGCTGTTTACAAGTTGGGCAGACCGATTTTTTGTCTATTTCTGTTTGGCGTGCGGAAGATCTAGCCGCCAAAAGCTGGAGTGCCAAAAAGATGCAAAAATCCCATTTTGGGCTGATTTCGGGAAGCTCCAAATGAAGCTTTTCGCGTCTTTCACGTTTTATTCTCACACGGAAAGACATGTGTCTGCCAAACGTGCTTCGGGCTGCTCAGATCTTAATGCTGAAGCTCAATGCGTCTTTTGACTGTTAGAGCTACCAGAAGATCTTCCCAAAAAGATGCACCAAATGGGCCCGTAGTAAGAAAATCTCCATTTGAACCATTGAAGTCCGAAACTAAGGTGATCAATAGAGGTTGGACATCATATTTAATCAACTTTCCTTTAGTTCTAGCACTTTGTTTATCCAACCATACGTGCAAATTTGCATCTATGTACCACACACTAGAGCATTTGTTACAACTAAACCTCAACTGATGCTGCCTTCCATCCAAAACTTTTCCTAGGAATGGATATCAATATCATATGAAGGAAAATCAAAAGAACCAATTCCAAAGATGGGTCTCCATAGCAGAGGATTGATCCCTCCAGTGTATATCACAGTAGAAGGCCAGACAGCCCAAACTACAATATCATCAATACTGACTATAACCTTCCTAAAAGGTCCATTTCCTGGAGTTCGAGTAAGATTAATGGAAATTAATTCATTAACTCTCCACAACCACCTTAAATTACAATTTTAACATTAACGTGCAGGGCAAGTCAAACATCAAACAGGTTTATATTGCAAAATTCTTCATTCTGTTTAGACGCATATGGAACATGTGCAATGCAAAAATCCACCAACAAAGCGTGTTGGATTCCCCTGCAACTGGTGGAGAAAGCTGCACCCTATGGACAACCACAAGCAATAAACAAATAGTTCACCAAACACCCCCCAGAAAAATCCTGAAGCCTACATATATGTTGATGGCTCATACGGTCCAGTAACAGGAGCAGCTGGAATAGGTTATGTTATTCTAACAAATAGTTCACCAAACCCCATCAAACGAGTGTTTCTAATATGACTGAATCATTTGCTACGCCAACTATTTTTATTTTTATCTTTTTCTTTTATTTCTTTTTTGAGATGCATATATGATTCAGATCGCAGAAATTTGAAATGTAAACAGACATCAAAAAATGTTGATAGAACACTAACAAATGTTAAGCCCTAACCTGGTGCCTAATGTGTCAATGGAATCCGAAAAAAAAAAAAAAAAAAAAGAGCAATGGCAGTTGATTATACCTGAACACGGTGAAGAACAGCTGGTAATTAGCCTCTACAAGAAAAAAATGTCAATTAGTACTTGATGGAAGAAGAAGAAGAAGAAGAAGAAGGGGAAATTCATGGAACGATAAGTTTGAAGAATTAAAAGGAGAGCACCTACCTGCGTCGATGCTTCTCAGTTGCTTGGGGCAAAGTTCCTCTCGGTCACCTTCGAAAGTGGAGAACGAAGGATGTTTCGTCGAGTTCGAATTTTTGCTAGACGTAGGTGAAAAGCCCGAATAGACCAAAAGCTTCGCTTGTACTTTTTTGCAAATAAAGACTATTTTGGACTTCTACGGTCTTTTAGGGTCTTATCTTTTGATCTAATAGGCTAAGGCCACGTTTGTTTGAGGTGAAAAATCGAACCGGGGTAAACTTTATACCTCGTTCGATTTTACACATGTTTGGAGAGAGTGTAATTTTATATCATAAATCGGTGTAAAATTCATTTTTGAATTTTTTTACACGATGTAAAATATACATCAAAATTAAGGATGTAAAACTAAAACTCATCAACTTCTATCATACTCTTCTCACCCTAACGTCTCTTTCTTCCTCTCTGTTTTAACCATCGTTTTTTCTCTCGCTGGTGCCGATACATCTTTGTCAAACATCCAATATGAGATTTTGGCACCGGCGAAGCTCTGATCGGCACCGGTGATTTTGGCAACTGGGTGGTAGTCCTCTCCACTGACCCTTCAACCTTCCCAATAATAAAAACCCTCTTTTTCCCCGGCGACGAAGCCCTTTCTTTCCTCCCTAGCTCTCTCCCTCCCGACTTCTACACACGAATGAAGTTGGCCTAAAACTAGATGCTAGAACTTGTTGCAGCGATAGATCTGAACCCAGGGCAGTAGCGGCAAAATCCAATCCGATCTCCCACAACCGGATCTCCTCTCTCTCTCTC